TATTATTATTATTATTATTATTATTATTATTATTATTATTATTATTAAATGAATTATGCAGAATTAAAATTATTCAATATTTAGGTTTATCCTAAACTTAACAAGTATGGCAAGCCTTGATTAGATGCATCCATTTTCCTGCATTAAATTCCAGCACAGCACATTCCATAGATCTGCATAATTATTCCAGTGATCTTTTCAGTGTCTCCCAATATATAGCTGCTGTGGATATTCCAGCACAACACATCCTGTTGTCCTGTCCATTCCATTTTTTCCAGTCTTCCCTTCTTTCCCTCTTTTTACCTTCTCTCAGCTGCTAATGATGTCCCAGGATATATCCCTGTTCATCAGTTTATCATCGCAATTACAAAATTTAGAGTGCCTGGCACTAATTGATAAAGTTTAGGAAACAGTCATTGTTGCTAGTATTAATGTAAGAGTTTGCTAAAGAAAATTTGCAAAGTCACCATCCACTTTTCTGGCATTGTCATTTTATGTGATTGCAATGAAATTGTGCAGTTAATGCTTTTAAAAATGCAGAATCATACTCTTTATGCTATTTAATATAAATCAAATCCTTTGCTTATCATGGGTTTGCGCTGTAGAATAGAAATATGAAGTATCAAATTATTCAAAAAACACAAAATGTTTGAGAGATTAAAAAAATATTGTGCATTAAAAGCATTAACTGTCTCACTCAACAATTTATAACAAAACAGAACGGTTGAAATTTATCCGAACTCAAATTATTTATCGTCATCTTCAAATTATTGTCTGATTATTATATAAGATCAGAATATCATTTCTTAAAATTTCCTGGTTTTGATAGCATTATCCATTTCTTATAGAGAAGCTACATGTTGCCATCTAGAGGATAAAGACAAACTATTTTGCTCTTTAATTCTTTATAATCCAGTAACACTGGATTACTATCAAATGTTTTACTTCAAAGAAAACACCTCCAGCTGGTAAAAGATTTAGGAGGATAATTAAGAAGCTAAAAATTTCTTTATTCAAAATGTTCAAAACTATAATATCACCACAGGTGAGAAAGCATTAAAAAGATACTAGAAATGTTAGCAAGCAGAACCAAGCAAAATATCAGAGCCCAAATTATTTTAAATGATGCCTGCATTTATAAATGAAATATTTGGAGCTGCAACCTGAAAAAGTTGTGAGGGGATAGATGGTGGTCTTTTCTTGCCCTGAAAAATGCTGTATCTTGTTGAAAAATTGCACAAACCATAATACAGAATTCTACAAGCAGAAGTAAAAGGAAGTAATATAAATTTAATCACTCCTAAAGTATGCCAAAGGGACCTAAAGGCAGGTGATATATCAAATGATTGAAGCCATTAAACCTCTTAAAATCATTTCATACCACTTGTAATGAAAATCACTTGTAATTTTATATGTGTTAACACAGTCAATGGTGTTACAGAGAAATGATATCTCAGGATTATAAAGAATATTCAACAGCAAATTAATTATTCATAGTTGAAATCCATTTACAACCTTAATGAAATCATTCATGGGAACTGATACATTTATAAGACATTTTGATATAGACTGGTAAAGACTCAGAAATTAGTCTAGCTCTTAGGAAGAGAGCTTAAGAATGGAGTAAGAATAGGGTACCTTTTTAAGGCTAAGATTAAATCAAATGTTTAATTATTTGTAACCCAAAACAACTTCAAGTCATATTTGAGATATGGAAAATGCAGTTAAGACAACCACATGGTGTCATGAAGCCATATCCTGCTTTTGCTTTCAGAATTCTCATGACCACTTAAATGGCATAACTACCATTTAATGAATGACTATAAATCATTGATAGGAACACTCAACATCCCATTTCCTCTAATATTCTCATCAAGGAATGCAGACTAGTTGGACTTTGCTTACATTATTATCAGATTTCCATGGAAATGAGACCAGATCAAGTATAGTTCTAGAAACTTTCAGCACCTTGTCCTGTGAATCCCTTTGGCAGATTTAAGAATATACTTACCCTATTTGTGGACTTGCTTTCACTACATTTTTATGAGCTGGAGAACTCTGGATTTTGTTTCCTACTTGTCCACCTGGAGACAATATTTTATTTGCAGAGGAACCTTGTCATGAAAACATGAAAAACACTGTTTCTTTCACTGCAAGACTGACTTTTCACATGTACATATCTTTATGCACAGTCTAAGACCACAGTGCAAGGCCTAATACAAAAATTGCCAGCAGAATAACACAGATAATATAGTCATACCTCAAAAAATTGAGAACCAGGCCGAGAAAATCAAATTGATACTCAGGATAATGCTAAAAATTGATCTAACTTAATTGTAATTTAATCAAAAATATTTTCTCTAAGAATGTTTTACTGTTCTTTTTCTTTCACGTGAAGAATTACAATTTGGCAGTAGTCTTTAGAGGGATTAGATTGCCATTCCTAAGATTTCAGATCACCATAGGATCTACCCCACCCCTCCACTGAGACTCATTTATTCAGAAATAAAGGGCAATATTAAATCAGCAGGCTTAATATTTTAAATGGAATTGAAAAACAAGACCCTTGTCCTACTCTTTTATAGACTAGAAATGAGATTCCAATGCTATCTATTTTCTTCTATAGTATTAACAAATCAGGAGAAGCAATGAGAGAAAAGTAGGGAGATAAACGAGACATTAATATAGCAGTGACTACTCAACTCACTTGCTCATTGTTCTCTTAGGACACAGCACAATTGCTTTCAAAATTATTTGTCTCAGTTTTTAAAAATGCATCTTGAAATTGTCATTTTAATTGTTAAGATGTGATTGCAGAGAAGAATATTTATTATGACACATAATCACCTCAAACATATGATCAGAACTTCATTCACATTCTGCATATTACAGGTTTATTTGTATCAGCACTAACTATCCTAACTTCTACCAACTTGGGCTAAATCTGCATCAAGGTTTAAATTCCCTCTGAGCTACAAGAGAATGCCTAATTACAAAATTCCAGACAAAGAAATCACACACACATATGCACACATGTCCATTACTTGGTTGTGGTAAGCGTGATAAGGATGGCGGTGTTATTCCTGCAGAAGGTATCTTCTTTGCTGTTGGTGTCTTGTACTGAAATAACAAATATGATATCAGTTTTTCTAAGTTTCAATATCTTTCTAGTCATTATATTTATACTTTTGTCCGTCCTGTTTCAATTTCATATTTTCTTTTCTCATTAAACAAAATTTTTCCCTGTAGTTACTAATTGGAGTACGACACCTTTGTATCTTTTATTTATCCATTCAGCTCTTATTTAACTTCAATTTATGCCTTTACAATTATAACATTCAATGTAACACATAACTTCCAGTCGAATTCTGCTTGGTACATTCTTAAAATACGCACTAAGTTCTTAAAGAAAAATATATATATAACAATAATAAATAAAATACTTATTCTATTCCAATTCAGCTCTATCATTAATGTTAGTTATAATCTTTGACATCTTTAACATTTCTTTTCAATAGGATATCATACTTGTAGGGACACTTATAATATTTCCATAATTTTTTCATGAATTTAGGAAGGAATGAGATAATTAAAAGTAAGATTAAGAAAACTAAGGGAAGGGAAAAATTATTGAGAAAATAAGATATGGAATAGAACACAAAGATGAATATGAAATTGAATTTGTGTCTGTATGGAGAAGTGATAACCCGGGACCATGCTATTCTCAAAAAAAGAAACTTTACTTGTATTATGTTTTGTGAAAACCCAAATAAAAATTTTATAATAAAAAAATATGATATCCATTAAGCAAGTAATTTAACAGGTTAAATAACTTTCCACAATCATGCTGATTAAGTGTTATGTTTTTAATGCCCCTTATTTAAGGCAGACTTATGCCTACCCTTTTTATGTATTGCAGTTAAAGCATGTTACTTTGTTTTTAACAAACATGATAATGTCCAACAAAGAGGAAGATGTTATTGCAATGTAACAAGAATAAACCAGCATGATCTCTGTGTTATTTGCTGCTAAAGCACATCAATTGAACCACAGACCAATGGTCAGTGTCCAGGAGTTATGTTCAACACATATAGAGAGTTATAGACTCTGACAGTTGTTCTACACTGTAGCAGCAGTTTTCCAAGATCTCAAAAAAGAGTACCAACCTTCCTTCCTCCCCTCCCTCCTAGTCTCCCAATTAACAGAATGACAAATACGATTTCTAACACTGAACAACGAGCTTTCACACTGAATCTAGATTAATTCTATGTAATAGAAGTGTAAAGTAAAATTGGTATTGGACTACATATGGAATGTATGGATTGGATTGGCTAACCTTTGTTTCTTATTTTACGTTGTTTTTTTTTTGTCTGAAGAATGGAAATGACTCTAAACTTATCGCAAGTACAGGTATTGATGCAACTGAAAATCTGTTCTGATTAAATTATGGAGTCTACTACCATAAGGATGCTGTGAAAGCCATGTACTTGGATAACAGCAAATGGGGATTTATATAAATTCATGGAAGATAAGCCAACTTCTAGGTAAATTATGTGACTAAATACTCTGGCATATTCTACATAATAAAGAGGAAAAGACTTCAAAGCAGATGGTACTTTTGGAAAACAATTTAAGACAAAGTGAATACACTTTTGTTTGCCTTTTTATTTCTTCAATGAAACAGCTAAAATACACTGCTCAAAAAAATAAAGGGAACACTTAAACAACACAATGTAACTCCAAGTCAATCACATTTCTGTGAAATCAAACTGTCCACTTAGGTAGCAACACTGACTGACAATCAATTTCACATGCTGTTGTGCAAATGGAATAGACAACAGGTGGAAAGCATAGGCAGTTAGCAAGACATCCCCAATAAAGGAGTGGTTCTGCAGGTGGTGACCACAGACCACTTCTCAGTTCCTATGCTTTCTGTCTGATAGTCTGGTCACTTTTGAATGCTGGTGGTGCTTTCACTCTAGTGGTAGCATGAAACGGAGTCTACAGCCCACACAAGTAGCTCAGGTAGTGCAGCTCATCCAGGATGGCACATCAATGTGAGCTGTGGCAAGGTTTCCTGTGTCTGTCAGCGTAGTGTCCAGAGCATGGAGGCGCTACCAGGAGACAGGCAAGTACATCAGGAGACGTGGAGGAGGTCGTAGGAGGTCAACAACCCAGCATCAGGACCACTACTTCCACCTTTGTGCAAGGAGGGACAGGAGGAGCACTGCCAGAGTCCTGCAAAATGAACTCCAGTGGGCCACAAATGTGCATGTGGCTGCTCAAACGTTCAGAAACAGACTCCATGAGGTTGGTATGAGGGCCCGATGTCCACAGGTGGGGGTTGTGCTTACAGGCCAACACCGTGCAGGACGTTTGGCATTTGCCAGAGAACACCAAGATTGGCAAATTCACCACTGGCGCCCTGTGCTCTTCACAGATGAAAGCAGGTTTACACTGAGCACGTGACAGACGTGACAGGGTCTGGAGATACCGTGGAGAACGTTCTGCTGCCTGCAACATCCTCCAGCACGACCAGTTTGGCAGTGGGTCAGTAATGGTGTGGGCTGGAATTTCTTTACGGGGCCGCACAGCCCTCCATGTGCTCGCCAGAGGTAGCCTGACTGCCATTAGGTACCGAGATGAAATCCTCAGACCCCTTGTGAGATCATATGCTGGTGTGGTTGGCCCTGGGTTCCTCCTAATGCAAGACAATGCTAAACCTCATGTGGCTGGAGTGTGTCAGCAGTTTCTCCAAGACGAAGGCATTGATGCTATGGACTGGCCCTCCCGTTCCCCAGACCTGAATCCAATTGAGCACATCTGGGACATCATGTCTCGCTCCATCCACCAATGCCACGTTGCACCACAGACTGTCCAGGAGTTGGGGGATGCTTTAGTCCAGGTGTGGGAGGAGATCCCTCAGGAGACCATCCACCACATCAGGAGCATGCCCAGGTGTTGTAGGGAGGTCATACAGGCACGTGGAGGCCACACACACTACTGAG